CTGCTTTAGCTTGATATTAAATGACAATATAACCAACCTTCCTTGCTACAGCGTAAATTCCATTAATAACCTAAAATGATAAACAGAAATTTATACATTCAGTTCACAATCTTATATATTTGCATATGTTATTTTCATGTGTAAATGCTGGGTTTTTGTCCAAGTGGAATAATAGGTGTACCATACCTGTCCAGGATTAGTTTTCTCAAAAAGATCAACAACTTGGAATAAATCTAACTTCTTGCAATTCAATATTTTAATTCCAGCATCGATAAATCGTTCAATATTCTCTCTCTGAAATAAAAGTTACTTTTCATTATCAAAGTAGGTACATATAGTTGGACCAGAACACAGCCAAGTATCTGTATTGGAGAGGGCCCATATTAGAGAAGTGTCCTTATTATAGAGGTGTGCATATTAGAGAGATTCCATAATTATAGAGGTGCCCATATTAGAGAGATGTCTGTATTAGAGAGGTGCCAAAATTAGAGGGGTGCCCATATTAGAGAAGTGTCCATATTATAGAGGTGTGCATATTAGAGAGATTCCATAATTATAGAGGTGCCCATATTAGAGAGATGTCTGTATTAGAGAGGTGCCAAAGTTAGAGAGATGCCCATATTAGAGAGGTGTCTGTATCAGAGAAGTGTCTGTATTAGAGAGGTGCCTCTATTAGAAAGATGTCTATATTAGAGAGGTGTCTGTATTAGAGAGGTGTGCATATTAGAAAGATCCTGTACTAGAGAGATGTTCATATTAGAGGGGTGTCCCTATTTGATAGGTGTCTATATTAATGAGGTGTACACATTAGTAATTATAGGGGTGCCCATATTAGAGAGATGTCTGTATTAGAGAGGTGCCAAAATTAGAGGGGTAAGGAGAGGTTCAACTGTAATCTGAATATTCATGCATGATTACCTTTCTAAAAGCATCCTTTTCCTTTAAGGTTTCATTGAACTTAGGGATTGCTCCTTCAGAAATTGTATTCATTAACCTGAAACAAAATGCCAAACCACCATTGTTACAGTGTGACTAACCCCAAATATGATTTTTGGTATGCGTAATATTTGGGTCATTCTAAGAAGAAATGTCATATATATTTTTATAGTAAAAAACCTCATCTTGGTCAACTTTTTCACTGTCAAAGTTTCCAGATATGATGTCATTAGGTGAATTTTTGGTACAAAAAAACAAAGGAAAACTAATTTGCAATTCATCTAATGACATCATATCTGAACCAAATATTACACATAGAAAAAATCATATTTGGGGTTAGTCGCACTTTTTGATATTCATTGAGGCACTTTGCCAATAAGCAGATTAACAAGATGGGCTACAATGTAGGTAGTATTCAATAATAAAACTGTCTTAACTTTACTGTCTAATGCCAAATAAGTGTACTCGTCACAGGGAGAGCACAGACGCTCAATGGACAAATCTGCAAGACTCTACCCTTGACAAGTAAAACAAAAACCGCTTTCCATAGCCGGTAACTCACATGCATAAGTATCGACCATCGGACAGAGCAAGACACATTCCATCTTTTCCCAAGGGATTATTGTATCTCCATTCATTGAGTTGATCAGCAGTCTGAATATCATCAGGGGGGTTGCATAGCAACGTACCAGTAACGTCTTCCATCCAAAGGCGAGCGTTTTGTTCTGACTGGTCGTCGTATTTTGAATCCATCTGTAAACATAAGACAATATGTCATGTTAATCCACTAAAGCATAAGACTCTCCCCTTGACAAGTGAATTCGTCTGGCATTAGACGGAGTAGAATAATAAAGTAGAGGGCAGATTAATGGGTTAATAAGTCCCATGATGAGTAAAGTTTAAAAAATGATTTCTGGGTCACAAGTTCAACACATATCAGCTTTCATCAAACACTTGATGTAAAAAAAACAACTCCTGGGAATTTCGCTGTATGCAGCCTTTCTCACAACTGTTTATGAATTGATGTGAACGGGTTAAAACAACATATTTATGTCCCTGTTTACAAGTTCGAATATTAACATGTCATTGTATTTTTATACTGTACCGAATAAAATGTACCGTTTGAATGACTATCTCTTTTAAATGTTATTAAAACTGTCTTAAATTCGTACAGTATTTAGCCTGATTTAGTCATTCAGCTCTGATTTAGTCATTTTACTCATTTAGATCAATTTGAATGCACAATATTTCAAAAGAAATTTAGGCCGACATTTCATGATGCATAAGATTTTTCACAAAAACGGCGAAAATCGGCAAGTATATACCTTCAATTTGATTTCTCGGCTAAATCCATAGCCCATCGGTCTGTTAAATTCTTTAGCCATCGTTAAAACACGTAGATAAGACAGTGATAAGTCTTCAAAGCCAGCAACGCACGACTAATTTAATTTGACTTGATGTCCGATAATTTGTACCTTTCTTCCTCCACGTCAAAACAAACACCCTTCAAACAACCCGTCCCCCGGTTTCATGGGTTATATTGTGCGGGTATTTATGTGAAACGCACCCAAAATTCCGGGGGGTGAAGTACAGTTCAAATTCGATTAACTTTTAGTGATGCAATTTTTACTATCATTCTTTTATAAAGGTTTGAAATAAAATAACTGTGTATTGCACTACCTATTAATTTCAGGAAAATAAATACTTGTAATATAGGCCCGCCTAGTACGATTTAAATAATCCAATATTACTAATGTAGCCCTTATAAAATTAATTCCATTGGATTTTTTACGTAAACGCGTGCTAGGTGAAAGATTCTCTTTGCATTTTCAGTATTGTGCTAATGTACGTATCATGTCCGGACAAAATTCTAGATAGTTCGATTTCGCTACGTGAAATTCGAACCTATGTTTGCGCAAAAAGATTTTATCAGGAAAACTCATTACATTTTAATGAATTACGATTCCCACTTAATATGTACTCATTTTAAAACGTCCGGGTCGCCTCTTAGGCGACTGAATATATGATTTTCCGCAACCTGTGATATTGATAATATTACATAAATTGTATTAAGTTTAATATTTCGTCTCTCCGTTAATGATATTTTCAAAAAAGGCGTAAAACGTCATCTGACTTACCCCCACAAGCTCAAAAATATTCACTTATATTAACATTCAGCAAAACCCGAAATTGTAAGCTCTCTGATTGGCTAAAAATTTTCCCGCCTAAATTCAGTCAGAAATTCATCTCGCTCGTGGATTGTGATTTAAATTTTAAAGGTCTTCGAAAATATTTTGTGAATTCTGGACTATTTTTGGCGATAATGAATACATTTGGAGCTTGTTTTGAAGCGAATAACATCTGCTCGTTATAACTACTTTCATTTATGTTAAAAACTACAAAGAATAGAACGAAATAGCGTTGTGTAAAAGGGTCTTTCGTACAGGTAGAGTTGCCTAATTTTTCAAGTAAAAATATATATATATGCATATATTTATTGTTTTTGCTATGTATATATAAGTTGTATATATTTGTTTTTGCTATGTGCAAATAATTTTTATATTTTAGAGTTGAATAATTCGATAAAGCGGTGAAATTTCTAGTAAATGTTCTCAAAATCCTCAATGTTTTTATTATGATATTTGGCTACTAGTGCCTGCGTGCAGAGACCTATGTAGTCTATATAGAGTCTGCGAAACTGCGAAAAAAGCTTGTTGTTACTATGCAAATTGTCAGGCCCCGTGGTCTGGTCCTGCAATACTAGCTATGAAAGCTTTATGTAATTGTATTATTTAAGTACTGTTGGTGTAAGAGCAGAATAAAGGTGTGGTTGGCTGGGAGAAAGGCCAGACAAACTCGATTTTGGGTGGGGGAGCAAGGGCCTACGGGGGTGTCCCCCCAAAAAAATTGAATCTAGAGGTTGTCCCCCCAAAAAATTGAATCTAGAGGGCTCTTTAAAAGTTCTGGCAAAGATTTGTTTTACCCGACTTGGGAATCATGAATATTCAATATATAATAACCTTAAATTTGCATTTCAGGCAGCAAAGAATATTAGGTTCTCCGACTCTAATCTCTTATGGGGAGCTTCGCTTGCCCCAATTTTACCTTCTGTTCCATTACCCCAGCACGTAAGTGATTGGTGATGAAAGTAGGAGCGTTTGGGGGTTCTCTCCCAGAAAACTTTTATAATTTTGATGCTCAATGACAGCATTTCTGGAGCATCCACAAGGAAAACAAGCAAATGAGAAGACTGTTATAAGGTTATATTTTCGTTAATTTGGTCACTGCAGTGACTGCACATTTGTGTTTTAAGTTTAGAACTGCACGTTTTGTGTAGAATATTCCAGATAGAATTCTATACCCAGATATTCCAAAGAGTGTATCCAAGGTTATCCCAGATTATCTTATGTTTATATCATTATGAAGCTAAATACCCAGACCAAATTATCGCTCTGCGCTAAAGTACTGCTTATCATAACAAGTCAACATGATTCTAATTGGAAAAGTAAAATACTGCCTGTCTAAATAGCTTATCAATGGATAATGGCGTAGCACATTTAATCTCTGAAAGGGGTGTGATGCTTATCTTGTATATTAACCCATATTCACTCATCCTCAGATGGAAAAACATCATTCCTAAATTGTCAAATTAATCCAGGAAATGGCTTAAATGATCTGGTCTATGTGTGAAAAGATTATACTCACAGGCTGACAAAGTGTGGCATAGCATATGTTTTGGTGTAGGTGATAAATGCGTGCTACCTTTATCAGTAAATATTTCAAGGACTACATTTTCTTCGTTAGGTACCCTAATTTCTACTATAATTTGGATAATTTTAACGATTTTATGCATTCAACCAGCTTGTTGGCATGGTGATTACAACATCGCCAGGAATAGAAACGAGTATATGTACTTTTCCCATGTAATAGACCACAGATGTTACCAGTGGGTGGTCATGGCATTGAGAAGATGAAACCATTGGATCAAACAGGCGTTTATTACAGACTGCAACAGTGTGCTAAATGCATGTATATTTGTGGTTTTAAAATTTATACAAGTATAAAGGCTGATTTACACTTGCATACCCTGTAGGGAGTGTAGGTAAACTCTAGTTTTGAAGGATTTGTAAGAAATGTTTGAGGGAACTCACTTAAATGTTAAACACTGAGTCAGTTTCCTTCAGAATTTCTTACAAATCCTTCAAAACTTAGAATTTACCTCTGGAAAACTTACCTTAATCCTGCTTAAAAGATATACGCATGCCTGGTATAATCGACTTAAAACCTAATAATACAAGATTTAACATGAAAAAAATATGTGGCCTTAATTATAATATTTGTGTCTAAGTTCGCCTTCCATTGCAATCAAGTACTGTAGTTTTCCATTTTCAGTCCTAGTCTAAAGGCTAGTTTACAGTTTACAGTTTACAGTTTACACTATCAAAGTTTCTGTGGTCATAGGAGGAATTATGCATATATAGCTACGCCTACAAGTAAATTCTAAGTTTTGCGGTTAATCACTGAGTCAGATTTCTCAAACAGTTCTTACAAATCCTTCAAAACGTAGAATTTCCCCATGCAAAATTCTTACTGTGAACCAGCCTTAATGTAATGTTATAAAAATGTATGAATTAAAGCACATACGAATTTGACATTTTCAAATACTAATTCACCTTTAATTTGGAAAATCCTGCTTAAGTCAAAGATATATCCATATATATATATCCATGTGTAATCGATTCAAACTTAATCTAACATTAAGAAAATTATTTGCCATATTTGTGTATGAAGAGGAATGTTTACATCGCATTGCAGTCAAGTAGGTTTCCATTCTTCACTCTTTTATAGTCTGATGTATAGATTGATATCATAAGGGAAAAATAAGTCGGTATAATCAGACGACATCATCTAGATTCTAGACTTTGTCTCCGTATCAATTTCAAAATGCATGTACAGTTTACTGGTTATATCTCACGATTTTTAAACATTTCTCACGCTTTGACAAAAACAATAATCTCTTAACACCAATGGGACAAGTCCGCGATAACAGATGACAATCATAACGCTATTGTTCGTCTACGATTTCACCCGTTTAGTATAGTTTATTGAGTTTCTCACTCAATGGCGAGCGGATTTCCCAGCGGCCCAATTGATAGGGGATCCGAGGTACCTACGATTTTAACGTCCTTATCCGAGAAGACACAAACGTCCATTTACTGATGTCAGTGTAAAGGTAGCATATTCTCCTCAATTATTTTAAGACCTCGAGTAGAGGTCCGACCAAAGATTGAAGCCAGCTTTGAGAGGCAAGCGTGATGACCTTGCGACACTACAAACTACAACTCATAAGTGCTGCATGCATGGTATTCACTTGATGTGCCTTGAACGCACCGAGTGAAGTGTGCAATGAAAATTGATGCATTATGTCTCGTAGCTGAGCGTATAACTTCACTAAAACATATGTCTCTTAAATAACTACCATAGCCCTTCCCCGCCTATCGCAGTGCAAATATATTTCCTTCCAGAATTAATATGATTTGCTTGAAATGGCTAAAAAGTTCTTAAGATCAAGAAATACTTTAACAAAATCGCTCTAATTTTCCCAATCGTTTCCTGCCGTTATGAACCCCACAAGGTATTATTGTAATCTTGGCTAAAGTTGATTTAACCTTTTTGATCCAAGCATGAAAAGATGCGTCTGATTGAGTCTGGTGCATGTCTGTTTTAATAGATACCAAACCAATATCATAATTGGTATCGCGTCAACGATTTGACTGCGAATCTGCGATGACATGGACATGCAGACATTTTGGTTAACCTTTAACACCAAAGCCTCTCCCACTGGCCAGTTCAAATACAGTAAAACCCGCATATATAAGGACCTAGTTTTTCCAAGTTAGTCTTGGCAGAGCATTGGGCTAGTATTCCAAAGGTCGTAGGTTCGATTCCCACCGTGGTCAGTCATATTTTTCAAGCTTGCCCGGTGTGGATATACACTCAGAGTAACATCACAAACATCATATTCACCTGAGTACACCAACACGGAACAAATCATGATTACTAGATTACATTGATATCGAAGGAACTAGACTCAGTTCCGAAATATCACATCTCGAACCGGCCTGACCGCGTAGCTCGGTTGGCAGAGCATTGGGCTAGTATTCCAAAGGTCGTAGGTTCGATTCCCACCGTGGTCAGTCATATTTTTCAAGCTTGCCCGGTGTGGATATACACTCAGAGTAACATCACAAACATCATATTCACCTGAGTACACCAACACAGAACAAATTAGTCTAAACAAGTTCATATATAAATGTTCCTTACCAGGAAATTAGGCTGAACAGGTTCTTTTAAATAGGTTCTTATTTTCTTAAGAGAAAAGCGACTAATTTTAGGGAGATATGGTATTTGATTTATATAAATTATGCACAAATGATCTAAAAATGACAGTATACTGTATATGCACTATACCAACCCTATATATGCACTAAAGCTACACTGATTGTAGCTTATGACTTAAATCTGACTCTGTTGGATAATATAACAATCTGTTTTGAAATTCTAGCCTGAGTATTGCTCTACAATAAACTGCTATGGTTTGTGTCTAAGTGAACTACCTTGAACGCACGTTTAGTATATAAAATTAAGCTGGGCCATTAGCAAAATATGCTGTTGATGACAGGCAAATGATTTCACACCAAAAGTGCTCATCTTGTTTAATACTTGAGAATTTCTAATACCATTTATGGATAAATTTTACGAAAAACGTATACGTTGAGTACATATTAAAAAAAACAAACACGCAATGTACTGAGGTAAGTGTACAGGAATCGAACTTATTTCTATTGGATAGCCCTATCAAATCTAAACTGTTCTTCCTAGAGGGCCATTCCTCATTGAATTGTATTAATGCAGCCAGCCAACAGCATTACCAGCATGCGGAATCAAAGCCAACGCTCTGCCGAAAGTCGTGGTTTTCTCCAGGTATTCAGGTTTCCTACCGCAGGGAATGTTGACAGGGTAGGATGGGATCAGCCTCTCACATGAGTGATAAGGTGGCTGCCAAATGCACCGTTACGATCAGGTTGAGCTGTGTGTCCTTCGCAGTTCAGCTTATTAAACTCTCAGGCTCTCAGCTGCGAGTAAGGATGATCAGCACAGCCACCCTTCACTTACTCATATAACTTTTTTCTGTGTTGGTGTAGTGTACTCAGGTCACTCAGGTGAATATGATGCTTGTGATGTTACTCTGAGTGTATATCCACACCGGGCAAGCTTGAAAAATATACCTGGGCACAGTGGGAGTTAGGCATATAAGCATATGTTTCAAGCTTGCCCGGTGTGGATGTACACTCAGAGAAACATCACAAGCATAACCTTGTGTTATCAAAAATATTCGTTCTCATTGGATGTTTATATAGCCTTCAATGGCTTCAAGATGTTTATTATTTTTCTCACTAGTTTTATTTGCTTTATTTGTCTGTTTGTATAAACAGTTGACATAAATCAAAATTGAATTTAGCAATATTTGTCACGCAGACTGAAAAATTCCACACTGTGAAATTCTGTATTGAAATCTGCAAAATGGTTAGAAAATCAATTTTCAAAGTTTTGGCCAGTTCGTGGAATTTTCCAGAAAAAGCGTGGGATCCGAAAAATGCATCGACCGAATTCCCAGATTGAATCAATGAATCCTAAGATTTAATTATCAACGAATCTTACGATTGAATCACGGAATCCTAAGATTGAATCACTCAGTCCTAGGACTGAATCATTTAACCGTATGGTTCAATCAGTGAATGCTAAGAATTAATTGTTCAATCTTTTGTGCCAGACATTTCCTTAGGGGAAGCCCAATATATGTAGTGTACAAACTCTGCTTGTGATAACAAGGGCTACTATTATAAACGCGGGGGTCCAATGCGCTAGTATTCTAGTAAATTCTACAATAATCTTCTGTGGTTTGTGTATGGACTATCTGAATAGGATCGAAGACATGGACGTTTCACGTTTCGTGCGAACTCCCTTTGTCGGGATGTCAGTGGCGAAAGGTTTTTCTCAGAAGTTCAGTAGCAAAATGTCATGCATTCGAAGTGTCGATCAATCCCCTTCAGATAGTAACCTCATTCTTCGAACTTAATTTCAATTTTTATCGCGGAGAATTCAATCCATATGTTCTGTCTATTATACAGTTATTAACTATCTACCCAGCCTCCTAAAGTTATTTCGGGCAGACACGTCGGCAAGCACTTTAAACAACTAGTCAAATTATGCATTTCTTATACCCACTTTGCCCAACGCGCTAAACGATCTCACGCAAAATGAATTGTCTGTTCTTTGGTTGAAGTATTAGGCTTAGCAATACCATGCGCGATTTATGCTATTACTTACGTTTATAGGCTGTGAATGAATGGTTAGATTTTTAATTGATAAAGCATGCACTATTTAATGCTTATGATCACATTTACTCGGCGGCTAAACTAATGAATATTAACAAAGTCAGTCAGCTAAGAACACAGGTAGGCGTTTTGAGCGATTGCCTTTGATCAAGAGGTTGTCGAAGTCCTCTTCTGATGATGAAGACTTCGTTCGAAATATCCAAATGTTTTAAATTTTTTAGACAGTTCAGATACAAACCACGCCAGCTTATTGTAGAATACTACACAGAGTGACCACGCACCTGAGGTAATTCAGCTATAGCCTATCATCGGCATTTTAAGCAAAGCCAAGGTGTTAGGCAGACTATTAATTTACTGCTCAAAACCTCATCAAAGTGTTTTCAATTTTTTTCTAGTAGTTCAACTAGTTCAGACAAAGCTTATCATAAAATACTACCTACACTGGACCTCTATAATTCAGCCAAAGCATACCTTCTTTTTGACTTCAGCTGTCATTCCGTAGCCAGTGGGTCTGTTTATTTTATCCGTAGCCATTTTCAAAATCGTCTATACAACCTTGTTAGCGAAAATTCACCGTCTCAAATCTGTACTCAACGGCAAGGCTGGATAGCAAAGGTTGGGTCGATGTAAGATTATATACTTATTGCAAAGGCGGAGACCTCAGTTTGACCCTGGGTTAGACAATTGCCGCGTTACTATTGGTCCATATTTTGACCCCTGAGTACACCAGACAGTGAGTTATTTACTTAACTCGTGTTACAACTGAGAACCATTGGTCGGGTCAAACATTGACAATTATGACAGGCGCGCGCGGGTAATATTCGCAGATATATACCTACAAGCCCATAAGCTATACTACATACATTTCACGAAAGCTATCTTTGGCTAAAACTATGCAATCATATTTGACGCAATTTGTGATAAATTTTTGCTAATGATTTGACGGTTAAGGATGTTTAAATAAACATTTACATTGTTGAAGTTCTGTGCGACCCAGGGGTCAGCGACGCCCCGTTACTTAGGGTAGAGTAACATTAAAGGCACGCATTGAAACCCGAAATCTATTTTATAAGGAGACGTGACTCAGACTTGGAATCAGGCACCTTGAGTTTTCATTGAATGCGAGTACAGATCCAAGTCCAAGTGGGACCAAGTGTCCAACTATAGCCAAGTCACTAAGGGTGTTGATAACTTGATAGAATGGTTAATTTTCAGCCAAGGCTTCTGAGTATATGATAGTTTTATTTTTGGAAACACCACGTAAATTATTACTTCTGAGTATGGTTGAGTTTTAAATGGAATAGACAACGTCAAGTAATTTATTAAGCAGGATTTAGTAAAAGCATGTTGAGAATGTTTTGTATGAATGACCTCATGACCTCACGCACGTTTTTGGCTGCGGCAATTCTTATATTTAGCATTCGTGAGCGATAAACAGTGTTAACTTTTTTATATGACCAACCATCCAATATTCATGCAATATCAGCATTCTGTAAAAAGAAAATAGAAACGTTTATACATTTTACTAAGTTCCAGCTACAGACTAAATTTTGATCTAGGCAAGAAGAACAAAATCAATCACTACAGCTACAAAGAGCATGTTAAAATTAGTAAAATGGCAAAGTTTGGTTGCGAAATGTTGTAAAATGAGGAAAATATAATTCAACGTTTTGACTACTTTTAAGTCATCATCAGGAATTATGAAAATTTCCTTTTCATAATTCCTGAGGAAAATATAGCCTTGCGAAATTTGCAAATTTTGTATTAATTTGTATTGCGCACGGGAACTATGTCTATATGCACCACTTTCGGCCCAAATATGGTGCATTTCCCCGCGCGTAATACAAATTAATACAAACGATTTGCAAATTTCGCAGGGCTATATTTTCCGCATTTTACAACATTTCGCAGCCAAACTTTGCACTGTTTACAAATTTTAACATGCTCTTTCTAGCTGTGGTGATTGTTCTTGTTGCCTAGATCAAAATTTAGTCTATATAGTATGGCTGGAATAATCCATTCAATTTATTTATGCTGGATAGTTCTATATCCGAGTCCAGTGCAGTCCGGGTTTTTTAGCACCTCAAATCTCTAAGGCAATGCCAACAGGAACTCTGTGCTTTGAGTATAATTCCAAACATGGTATGAGGAGCCGTAAGTGGCTTAGTATTACTTATTGGCCTTCCTTATATTGCTAGGTCGCCTGATCAACGTCCGTGGCTTATCCTAAGTGCAAGAATAGTACACAGAAACTTTTCAAAATATGTTGACAGCGTTCTCGTTCCACCTGAGTGGCATTGTCTTTTGCATATTTTAAGTTCCCTTCAGGAAGGAAAAGAATTAATATTGATAAAGAAAGTTTTTTGGCACCTCCCTTCCTTCCTCGGAATCTGATCAAGATAATACAATAAAGCGGTATAGAAAAGCATTATAGAGGAAACTGCATTATAAAACCACAGCCTTACTCTATTCTGACATTTTACGTTTCGAGTATTCTTTAGAGTTTAGACATTATCAGGATTTTGGGCATACATTTATTAGGCCTGACCAGGAGCAGTTACCCATACATCGGTACATTAATTGGCATCATAAACATGAACTTATGGTTAGAGCTCGACAACTGTCTCTGTAGCTCAGTTGATTAGAGCTCGACAACTGTCTCTGTAGATCAGTTGGTTAGAGCTCGACAACTGTCTCCCTGTAGCTCAGTTGGTTAGAGCTCGACAACTGTCTCTGTAGGTCAGTTGGTTAGAGCTCGACAACTGTCTCTTTGTAGCTCAGTTGGTTAGAGCTCGACAACTGTCTCTGTAGCTCAGTTGGTTAGAACTCGACAACTGTCTCTCTGTAGCTCAGTTGGTTAGAGCTCGACAACTGTCTCTCTGTAGATCAGTTGGTTAGAGCTCGACAACTGTCTCCCTGTAGCT